GGGGGCCGCGGGAGTTGCAGGAACCCCCTCTCGTGGCCGATCGGCCTCGCTGCCTCCTCGCGAGCCTCGCTGTGGTAACCACGGAAATAAACAAGTGCGGGTGGCCGGAGGCCGGCTCCGGGGCCGCGGGGCGTTCGAGGATGCTCCGGGCACACGGCCCGGGCGAATCGAAACTTTCCGGGACGAGTCCCGCCTCCCCCGGTCTGCGAGTGCCGCTGAAGCTTTGTTCCCGGGAACGAACCGCGGCTCGGAGCGTGTTCCAGGGAAAGCCCCCGCGCCCTCCTTCTCCTCCTCCCCGGTGCTCTCGGATGGAGGAGCTCCCGCACCCCGGGTGGTGTCCGAGCCGGAGCTGGGGCGGGCGGCTGGCCGCGCTGGAGGCTGCCGGAGGCGGTCGGCGGGAGGCGCGTTCTGCCCGAGGAGGCGCGACTGCGGGTGCGGCTGCGCCCCGGGGCTCCCTGCGCTCGCCGGGGAGCAGGGGCACCGCTGTGCTCCCTCTGCCGTAGCAGGGCCGACTGGTGCACGCCGACTCTCCTGCTGCTCCCTGCCCCCGGGGAGGGGTCCTGTCGCCCAGCCTGTCTGACAGAAGCTCTGCACTTCCAGAGCAGCGAGCTGCCCAGGACAGGGAGATTCACTCACACCCTTTCTGGCTGGGCTGGAGCTGGGGTACATGGAGGAACAAGTGTCTGGGAAAAGCGGCAGGCGAGGCCTGGAGGGTGCAAGCCAGCCCTGCCCCCTGCTCCGCCCTGCTTCCCTGCAGCCGGCGGAGCTGGCTTCTCACCTCCAGCCAGAAGGAGTCCTAGAAATTCCCTTTCTTCCCTTCTGCCCTTTCTCCGTCAGCACGCAGCCTGTCTCCAGCTCCTCCCCTCCACCCAGAGCCCTGGCGCCCAAGGGACGCGGCTCTGCACAGAGCTGGCCTCGGCTGGGCTTGGCCTCCCGGGGTCTCCCTGGACTGGCCACACACTGCGCTTGCCTTTTGGACAGCTCTCCTGGCTCCCCTGCCAAGTGCCCATGGGGCCCGCTAGCCCCAGCCGGGCTGACGGTGGGCTTCGCCGCCCGCAGCAGCGTGGCTCTCTGTCCAGTGCTGGGAGAGGTTTCCGAGCCACCTCGAGACCAGAGCGCCCGGAGCGCGGGGCTGTCACCTCTGGGTGGAGACTGTGGTCTACAGCGTTTCCCTCCGCCGGAGACCTGCACACAGCAGGCCCCTGTGCGCGCTGCGTGGGTCACATGTCTGTGAATTTATTTTTGTTTTACCTCTCTGCTTTCTTCCTCAGGCCCATAACGAGGATCTTACCGCCAGAGAGACCTGCAAGGCTGGGTTCTCTGAGGAAGATTACACGGCATTAATCTCCCCCAACATCCTGCAGGGAGAGAAGCTCCTCAAAGGTAGGGCAGGGCCTGCGGAGGAGGGAGGGCTCGCTGTGCACTGTCCACTGGGGGAGGCCTTCAGAAGGACAAGGCCGGGCTGGGCTGGGATGTGCGTGATGCTCTCTGCAAGATGATGGCGGTGAGGTCAGCGAGGTGCAATTTGGAGGACCTCGGAGACATTTGGCATCAAGGTAAATGATTCAGAGTCCCTGTCGTTTTTGAACGAGGTGAATCATTTCCTGGGCAACAAATTGGAATTCGGAAGTAACGTCACCCAAATAATGTGCAGAGAGAGACTTTCTTACCAAGTATTTTTATGTATGAAATTCTGGATTCTTAAATTATCCCTGCTTTGAAATGCATGATAAAGCAGACGATGTTGTTGGAAATGCAGTAAATAAGCCCACAGACGTTCTGTTCACAAATGTGGCATTCATTTTCATTACTGCCCCACTGACAACACGAAAACACACATGCAGGCGGGAGCCACCAATTAGCCTGGTGGTGCTCACGGAGCCGTGGCCACGTTTTCCACGGGCCGTCGGAGGCAGCCCCGGATCTCACACCACCGTAGATCATTCTGCACACCGATGTGTTTCCCTTTCAAGACAAACTAATTAAACTTTGTATTTGCGTAGAGGAAGTAAAGGAGGTCTTGCCTTCCCAGGGTTTCAAGTCCAACCTAGAGCCTTGCCTCATTGCCTCTGAGTTGGTTGTGGAGTGCCGGGAACCCACGTTCAATGTGCTGTGGGAGCTAGATTTCATTGTTCCCTGAAGTCACCCCCGGGCTCTCGGCTTTGTCCCTAGTTTTGTGTTCTGGGAGAAATAGAGACTTTTCCCTCTAGGGCTGATAGCACTTCCTGAGGTGTGTGTGTGATGTGTGTAAGCTCTCTCGCACACCTAGTGAGGGGACTCTCTAGACTCTCAGCCTTCCAGATGGAGCTGGCTGACTTTCTAGCTTGTTCCCTGTTATGTGAATTAGCATTTTTATCTTGCACTGAATCCAACTTTTCTCACTTTTTTTGTTTTGTTTTCTGCATTGTGACGCCATTGACTCTTGGCGATTATGAAAAAGCAGAAACTTTGCAGGCACTTCCCGAGGCACTGTCTCAGCAGCTGCTCCCTCCCCTTCCTGCCTGCCTCACTCCGGAGTGGATGAGGTGGGCGGGGCTTTGGTCTAGGACATCGCTGGGGTCCCAGGGAGCAGAGCCAGGTTGCTCTGGAGCTCCTGTGTTGCTCTGCCCGGTGCTCTGGGATGCGATTCTGTTCTGTTGTTTGTATGTTCTGAACTGTGGTGCTGAAACCAGCCCCTAAGGCCTCTGGGAGCCCAAGACCAAATGTGATCAGACCTCAGAGCACTGGATTTCCCCCGGGACTGAAGGAAACACACCTCTTTAGTCATGGCAAAGACTCACTGTGATCAAACAGGATGGCAGCTCCTCAGACATTCTGTGATGACGTGAGATCCAAACAGGCACCCCTTCTCTGTCACACAGCCCTGTGGGTCCCGCCCAGACTGTGTGCTTGGCTCTTGGTGGGTGTGGTGGGGGCCGGATCACTGGCCTTTGGCCTGGGCCCTGGGTGCACACGGCAGTCACATAGTGAGGGCTTGAAGCTGCGTCATCCTGGGTGAGCCTGGACCAGCGCACAGCGTTGCGAATACACAGGTTTCTGAGCATATGCTTACCCTGAGTTGAGGCTGCACCCGCCCAGGCCTGGCCCGGGGAGGGGTCCAAGGGTCTCCCCGGCATCTGGGATCCGGATCTTCTGTGCCTGTCTGCTGGGTGAGCTGAAGCACACTGTGTCTCCCCGGCCAGCCTACACCACCCTCTCCTTGCTTTCTTCCCTTCGCTCTTCCTAAGGTGCGTGCTCTCAGGAGCAAAGAGATGCTTTTACATCTGAGAAGTAATTTAACACATGCGCGGGCAACAGCTAAAGCTGCGATACACTCAAGCCAGGACATGCAGACAGTTCTTTGTGTGTGCAGAAAACTTTGCAGCTTCAAGAACATATCCAGGGTGCCTGCGTCAAAAATAAATAAGAAGCCCGGTGTTTCCGCTACTCTGGTAGGAATCGAGTTAAATAGATAATGACTCCTTATAATTGACTTACTCCAACGGAGGGAACTTAGCCCTAACTGGACCAGCGGAGCCTCGCCGGCCCGCCTCACTGCGCCTGCGCGAGCTGTTGAGGCCCGCTCTGCGGCTCTCTCTGCCTGAGTCAGCGCGCCAGCGGCCCCGCGACGTACAGATTCCAGCAGGAGCGATTTGTTACGCAGTAATTAACTTGTTTATGACAAATGGATGGAAGAAATGTCGTGGCATTTTGTTTTATGTCTAAATGAAAAGCATTTGCATTCTAAAAATTTCATGCTAATTAGGCTTAAAATAGTTTTCCCCAATAGGGTAACAAATACTACATATTGCAAACCTTTGGAGAAGCGAATCCTCGAAGTGTGGAGACCCAGAGTGCTGGTCTGGCTGACGGTGGCCTTCCCAGGTCCCCGCTGCCCACATTTCCTGCCTGTGGTTACTGGGAGTGTTGGGTGTCACTGCAAAGGCTGTCAGCCATAGTTTAGTTTTTAGAATCACGCACTGACCGCGCTGATCCCTGGTGCACGGTGATACCTAAGCCAGAACGGGTATGCTGCTTTCCTCAGGCTAAAATGGAGCGTTCTCCGAGCCACAGTTTAGCCCTGGCTCACCCGCCCTGGCTGGGCAGGTGTCCCTTTCTCTTCGTTATTAATAATTAACAGTCAACGGCAAGAGGCTCGGGCCACGCTTACCTGCGCTGTTCCCCAGCAGAGGCCTGGGCGAAGCTGGCCAGCCTCACACGGAGACCCAGCTGGGCGGCGCTGCAGGGCTTGGGTGGGGCAGGTCGCAGGCCCAGCGGTTGCCTCTTGTCTGAGAGTAGAGGGTGCCCAGTGGGCAGAGGCAGCGCTCACTAAGGGGCAGGAGGGAGGCTCTGGTCACTGTGGGGAGAACAGGCTCACTCTGGCTTGGGTAGCGCAGGAAGGAGGGCTTGGCTAGCGCAGGAAGGAGGGCTTGGCTTTCACTGACTTGATGAGATTTCCTCAGAGAAGCCTCCTCCCCCACCCCCAGTTAGCTAGGGACCATCTCGGGCACTGTCACAGCCGGCTGTCCTGCCACTCAAACTGCAAGGGTCACAACGGCCGAACTCTGTCTGTCTTTGCGCCTTTTATACCATTCAGGATATTCTTGGTCCATGAGGTAAAACCCAATAAACAAGATCTTGAATACATGGGGTTATTTTTCTCACACTACAGTGAGGGCGAGATATCATCAAGGGCAGAAGCCTCAGGTCGGTGACACTATCACAAACCCTGCATTCTGTGGGATTTGATTTGTCAGCTTATTGCCTCATTGTTGCAAACTAGCTGCTGTGGTTCCACATGTTGCATCTGAGTTCAGAGCAGAAGGAGAGAAGACTAGCACCATCTCCATTTCTTTTCTATATCAGGAAAGCACTTTTTCAGAATCCCTGCAGAAGTTCACATTAGCTAGAACTAGGTCACATGTCACTCCTTGCCGATGGGCTGAGGAGGCAGTGGAAGTAGAGTACTGTGCTGTCTTTTTGGCTTGCACCAATCCTAATCCATCACCTTGATGAGGAGGGCGGATTCTGTTTCAGGAAGGGGGAAGGGATGCCTACTGGACACCCCCCAAGTCTGCTGGGCAGGGGTTTCCCAGCTCCACAGGGAAGCAGAGTAGACAGGCCGTGAAATAGAGTCAGACAGGCTGGGGATCAGGCCGAGGGCTGGAGTCAGTAGCTGGGAACGTGGCCGGATAGGGCCTGAGCGTGGCCGGGAGTCCTCTTGTCAGATGGCCCAGGCTTGCCTTGGTGTGGGCAGGTATTCTCACCTGGGCATAGTGTCCCGGGGGGCCTGCACTGGAATCCCGGGCGTGTGGGCGTGGCTTCTTGTGGGCGGGTGTGGCTTTCGTGGGTGGGCGTGGCTTTCATGGGGTGGGCGTGGCCTAGCTCTCAATAGAGGCAGCCCTGCTGGGAGCTACGGAGAGCCCTGGGTAAGGTCCGCCTGCAGACTCCCACCACCAGGATGGCGAGGGGGCTCTGTACCCAGTGGTCTCTGATTTCTTCTGCTCAGTTCAGCTCCACGGCTGGCCTGCCTTCTTCTCTTAGTCCTGGCTGGAACACAGACATGATGTCTGGGGTTACACAGCCGTTTTGCAGCTCTGAGGAGGGTGGACAGAACCAGTCCTTGAAAAGCTTCGAGCCCTGGACCTGCTGTCTCCTGGGAGGTGAGAAAAACGACGTGGCTCGTTGTGTGTGCAGATAACCCGTGAGACCCCACTGTCCTGTCAGGGACCCCAAGTTATGAACTGAGTCTAGACAGGGGCCAAGACTGTCCTTGTCCTGCGCTGTGAGCTGGACTGGAACTTTTATGAGCCCACAGGAGTTGCCGCTGTCCCAGGGAAAGCTCCTCACCCCCTCTGAGAATTCCTGTGTGTGGGCAGCAGATGGCGGCCAGCCGAAGAGGTCCTTGCCGTTGCCCATCCCGAGGCACTGACCTCCCAGCCCCCTGTCACACGTCACCCGTCGCTGTACCCCTCATGCAGGCAGTTGGGGATCTTGGCCAGGTCCCCCGACTCCAGCAAGTACAGCCCCTGCTCCAAGCCCTCCCACCCAGGTGGCCCTTTGTTCCCTGTGAATTAGAGGCTCCGCTCCCCACGCTGGGCTGCAGAGACCTCCCCGTGGATCCTTTGCAAAGCTTCACTGGATGAAAGGAACCAGCAACCAGTGCTTCGGGCTCTTCTGTGACCTGGGCATGAGCGGGCCCCTAGAGGTGTAAGACCAGGGCCACCTGCCCGGGCAGCAGTGTGCAGGAGCTCCCGGCCAGGCTCTGGGCACGCCCCTGTGGGAAGCTGGGAGATGCCCTGTGGGGTCCGTCCAGCCACGGTGTCCATGGCTGGAGGACGCCATGGCCCCGACAGAAGCAGAGGGAGTCAGGCTGGGCGAGACGCCCGAGGCAGTGCCTCTCG